GGAAGGTAAGGTTTCTGCCACCAGCTGCGTGCTCAACTGGAGAGACCTGTTCTCAAATGTGATGCTACATGCCGAAAAAACCCCAAAGATGTGAGGAGTTCCCTCCTATTTTCTGGAAGTTCTAAGAAAATGGAGATTACAGTAAAAGGCAACCCTATCCTGACCCTCTGATGCAGAGCTTCTTCAAACTTGGGCCGTGTTAGTCGGTTGTAGTGCCATTAGGGGAAGGGTTAGCTCATCTACCCTTTAGTTGAGTAGTTCTAGACTGAGGAGTAACAAGTCTTAACGTAAAGAAAGGGGCCTTGACGTGCTGATGAAAGTCTCATCTCTCAGAGCTGGGAAAAGGTTTCCTAATCACCTTCTCTCCTCTGCCACAGGTTGGGTTCCTAACCACAATGGCCATTCTCTTGCACGAAATCCCACATGAGGTGAGAGGGGCTTTGTATCCTGCCATCGTGGGGGACTACAGGGGTGCTCCATCTGCCAAGAGGAGGGCTGGGGCTGGTTATCATTTTCTTGTCCCTTTGAAAGCTGTTTCCTCTGGGAGAATGGCAACATGGAAAACTAGAAACAGTGTTGAAGTGCTGGTCTTGTTAAGGATGGCCTTTGTGACTGAAATTGTTGGTATTCATTAACTGTCAGCTCTTGGTTTTTTTTAGGTTGGAGACTTTGCAATCCTGCTTCGGGCTGGCTTTGACCGCTGGAGTGCAGCCAAGATGCAGCTTTCCACAGCTCTGGGGGGGATTCTAGGAGCCTGCTTTGCAATATGTGCTCAGTCACCAAAAGGAGCAGGTGAGGCTCCCTGGGACCTCTGTAGGAATATCTGTCATCCCTGCGTGCGTATCTTCTTTCCCTTCTCTGTTCCCTGTCACGGCTTTGTCTCAGTGATAACAAAAGCTTTCCGTACTCGTGCAGGGGAAACGGTAGCCTGGATCCTGCCTTTCACTTCTGGAGGATTTCTGTATATTGCCTTGGTAAATGTTGTGCCTGATCTCCTGGAGGAAAAGAATCCTTGGTAAGTGCTCCCTCCTGTTCTGCTGCAGCGATTCTTGCTGCCAGGCAGCCCGGGTAGAACCCTTCCCCGTGCTTGTTCTGGGAGCACGTGAATGCCAGCTTTCCGAAGCCCGTGGGCAAGGCTGGAATCTAGACAGGCTGCTGTGCTAGCTATTGCATGGAGGGGGCTACACAGACCCTATAAAGCATGAGAGCCTTCAGCTGGGTCAATCCTAAAGGCTGTGCTAGCGCAGCATGTAGCGTGACCAGCTAGGGCAGGCTGCTCAGAAACACGTTAAGGAAGGTGACGCGTTCCCCAGTCTGTCTTGTCAGCATCTGGCACGTACTGGTTTAGGGACTGTCTGAACCAGGGCCCCATAGAGGGGTATGTGTCTGATAACTGCATGGGAACCTATCCTCGACGCGCTTCTGTCCTCCCTTTTTGACCCCATCCATTACTTGAGGCCTCTGCGATCTCCCTTTGGCAGCAAGTTTGCACAGATTGACTGCACTGTGTTAAATGATGCTGCTGCTTGTTTTTTTTTTAGCCTCATGCTTATTAATTTTGATTAGATGCTGCTGTGTTGCAGTGTGAGTAGAAAATAATAGTTTTCTTCTCTTCATATTAAATGATGCTGCTGCTTATTTTTTTTTTAGCCTCGTGCTTATTAATTTTGATTAGATGCTGCTGTGCTGCAGTATGAGTAGAAAATAATAGTTTTCTTCTCTTCATCATTCAGCATTTCATAGTCTGTTATTGTATCCCGCCTCAGTCATCTCTCTCCTACGCTGGTATAATATATATTCTGGTGTATTTGACCTCCCCTCTTTTGTATTATTCTGGTTCCTTGCAGCCTGATTAAGGCTGCAGCAGGTCCAAATCCAACTGTACCACAGTAAAGGCCCTCTCAGATCTGCTGGCAGAGCTGCCCCTGAGTGTTCCCTCCTGTTTCAGTTGTACTGAGACAAGTAACTTCAGTAGTTTAAATAGAAGCCTTGGCTCACCTGGTTCATTTTGACTGAAACAGTTAAGGAAGTGCTCAGAAAACAGCTCCACAGTTATAGCTGAGGAGGCAGGAACCTCTGGTAGAGAAATGTTGATGACCAGTTGGGAGTTTGCTTTTGGGTTGGTAACCTCTTGTGCTGGCAGAGCTGTTGACAGAGTATGCCGAGGTGGTAGGTACCGAGTCACTTCAATCCAAAACCTGAGATGGTGCTAAAAGAATGGCAAAGTTCAGCAACTTTGGGTTTTTTTTAATTATTTTCAGAACTGTAGTTGTTAGCTGGATGAGATCCCTAAAGTATCTGAGAACATGCTGCACAAATGCTGGCTCTCTTGTGAGAGAAAGGACAGGAATGTATTCCTGGGTGGCTGCATGACTGAATCAGCTTAAATTGATTTTGAGACCTGAAGTTGGGCCCTGCAGCTGAGTGGAACAGCCCCGTGTCAGTTTATAGACAGCTTCTTTGCCTGAGGTGCTGGGGAAGAGTCTTCTCAGCTGCGTTAGTGGCTTCGTGCAGCCGTTGTGTTCTCCTTGTGGTGGACTTGGAAGGGCAAAGAACAAACCATCCGTGAGCCTCCACACTGCTGCCTGTTGGGATTGGTCTGTGGCTCGTCCTAACTTTGCTGTTTCTTTCCCAGGAACTCCTTGCAACAAATTCTGCTCCTGTGCACGGGCATTACAGTCATGGTGCTACTCTCGCTCACAACCGAGTGACCTCTGCGCAGAGCTCCCGGTGCCTCCCAGTGCCACCTCGGTGACTGGGAGCTGTTACAAAGCAATAAGGAACACTAGTGTTACTTCCTACGTGTGTGCGTGCAGATCTGGCTGCTAGCATGAGAAGCAGGTGAGAAAGAGGTCTGGGTGTGCAGGACTTCGTTCCCTGGCTCTCCTATCCCTATTCTGCTAAAATCCACACATCAGGGCTTCCATTGTTGTTTTTTTTTTCCATTTGGTTTTTATGGAGCAAAAGATACAGTGAGCAGAAATGAACTCAACAGCTGCTCCACAGCGAATGGATAATGTTTTGTTCAGTTCGTTCTGATGGTCCTGTACCTTCCAAGCTCTTGTGTGAAAGCAACAGAGGCGATTCTTGCAGTTGATGAAGAAGAAGGACTTTTCCTACCACTCTAAGGGCTGGAGGCAGAATAGGGATGGCAAAGCAACAATAAACTAACAGCTTTAGTCAGAACTCCCATCCCATGAGAAGTTACGGTGCTATGAGATAGAGGGGAGAGGACCCTTTCCAACTTGATCTCCAGCTTTTCATTGCCACCACTTGTTCCTAAAGGTAGTATTAGCCTCAGCAGTCCACCTCTTTGGTCTGTTTTGTATTTGTTTATGTTGAAATCGAGCCAAAAGCTTGAGGCACTTTAGGATAGGTCACTACAATTACATTGCTCAGCTTGGAGATTACTTGCCTCAGCCCTAACCACTCCGACAGCCAGCACAGCCTAACTTTATCTGAAAAATGGTCAGTAAATGTTTCTTCTGTTGCCATACCACCAGCTCCCCTCCATCTGGAAGGAAAGCCATGTAGCTGTTGTGACTGAGCTCCCTCTCCTCACAACCTTTAGTTGAACGTGGCTCTGAACCTGCTCTGGAGACCCAGCTCGCCCACCGCCTGCCCCTCACCGTGTTTCATGGCTCTCCTGAGGTGCAGTGTGTTAGCCCTGCCTGGCGTGCTGCAGCAGCCCCCGGCTGTCGTGGCAGGGGTCTGGGCAATGGTTGGACACCACAGCCTGGCCCGTAGCCGAGAAGCCCTGGTCAGCTCATCCTCTGTTCAGTGTAGACTATTTAAGAGTGTGCTATGACCAAAAATATAGATGGTAGCCTATTTCGGGGCTTCTTACCTCACAGTGGAGTTAGTCTGTTGGGGATAAATGGGTGAGAAATAATACTGACAGCCCTTAAAGGAAGGGGCACAGCAGCAAAGAATACTGGAGGGAGGGTAAAACGGGGAGGGGTGAAACTGCTGGTGAAAAGACTTGAAAAAACGAGTCTAGAAACCGTGTGCTAAGTAAGGAGAGAAAGAGATAAGAAAGGGTGACAGTAACCATGCTTTAAAGGGAATTTTCTGTCGTGTGATGCCTGGGATAAAAGTTTTGGCAATTTGAGACCGATAAAAGCAAACGATGCCAGCGGTTTCCCGTGCCCCAGCTCACGGGGCTGTCCAGCCGTGGTTCTGCAGCCGTGGTTTGTGCCACAGAGACGTGCACGATGAACTGCATCCTCCCTTCTGCAGAGCTTCCCCTGGCTTTGCTTGTAAAACCAGGTCGGACTGAGCCGGCGGAGTCGTCGGACACGTAACGGGTGCCGCAGTGTGGAATGCACCAGCCGGGCTCTGCAGCCCGTGGTGAGAGGGCACTTTGGGTCAGAGCAACGAGGCAGGTGTGCTGCCCGCAGCAGAGGCATTTACTGCCCTGAGAGATTCCCGAGCTGTTGACACAGTTCTTTTTTTATGGCAGCTCCTGGCCTACTTTTCAGAGAGTGCCGGATGCAGTTCTCTCTGCCCAGGAACTGCTGTCTAAAACGTTTCAGCGTTCCCTACCCCAGGGCTTCCATCGGGAACTAGTTTCACTGCAACAACCAGGGAGGTTTAGTGCAATTTTTTTATTGCTTTTTAAAAAGTTGCCTTCCTTTGCCAACTACTCCCTCTATTATTCCGTTGTCACAAAGTCTAAAGGTAGCATCCACTTGCTGCTTCCCTGGAAGGAGGATTAATGCAAGGATTAGCCTGCCGGGACTGGGGGGGTGTGCCAACCCTCTGGTTCTAGTGTGGGGTGGGTTTCCTCCTCATCCTCCCCCTTCCCCAGGGACTGAAGCGAAGCGGACCCTGCAGTAGGGTGCCAGGGGAAGCAGGTTTGCCCAGAACGATGTGCCTGCTGTTTCCCAAGCTGTCTCTCTCCCAGCAAGGCTGGCATTTAAAGCTGAGGCATTGCCAGGTGAGCGCCCGTGAGTCGGCGTTGTTGCATCAGCGCTGAGCCTTGCCAGGGCTGAAAACCGCCGTCAGGATTTTGTGCTCAGCCTTCAGGAATGTGAAGTGGATGACACCGAAGAAAGAATTTGAGTTGTTTTTCCTGGCTGCTACCACAGGCCAGTCTGTGGTTCCCGGGAAGATACGCTGGCACGGGGCTTGTGGGAGGGAGACGCTCCTTGGTTTTCCACTACATCAGCCCTAGGGCTGCGGGTGGAGAGGAAAGGGAGCATCACTCCACCACGTTGGTCACTTTTGGAAATGCAGAGAGAATTGTATTTTCTAGCTCTATTTTTTCAGCTGCTCTTATGCATTTTCCCCCTTCATCTGTATTGATCTGCTCTGCATGGAGACAATAGAGATGAAATAAATGGTTTTCTGTGTGGGGCTGTGGTTTTTTTTTTCTTGAAGCTACTACTTTTCATTGAATTTCAAATCTAATTCAAATTTCAAATTTCAAATGCTCAAATTTCCCCCTCCATTTGAATTACAGAGCAGTATCTCTGGGTTAGCCTAGAGAAGTCTGGGCCGTGTCTTGCCCTCCTTTCTACTCCTCGCATTTTCACAACTGAAAAAAAAAAAGAGGTTCTGGTCTGGTTTGTTGCTCCTGCAGCTGTGGCACTGTGGGCCCGGAGAGGGGTGGTCTGATCATAATTCTTGGCTGCTGGTCTGGGTTCCCTGAAAAGCATCACCAAGTGAGTTGCCCCTCTTTGATGGGAGGGCTTGCGTGGTAACTAACTGTATGCAACCAAACTTTGTTGTGATCAGTGATTTTTTTTATTTTTAATCTAAAAACCTCAAGGCCTATCTGATATCAATTAACACTACGCTGGTTACCTGCCATTTGGGACGAAGGTGCACTCATCCAATGTCGTATGTAGGAATTGCCCAGGAAGGACTAAGAAGATTTTCTCTACCTTCAAAAACATGGGTTCAGAGCATCTCTTATCCCATTCTTTACCTGAAAGATTTTCAGCCTATAAATACTGAATGGTAGTACCTGGCTTTCAGTTTTTACCAGAAGTCTTCTTTAAGAAGAAGGAAAACCATAACCCAAGATCTGGAAGAAGATGAAGGCAGGTAGGTGATCAAGGGCATGATTTCAGGGTCTGGGAGCTTTGCCAGCAGTGTACGTTTTGGAATTTCTGTCCCTGGCTTTGCCATGCTGCCCTCTTTGGTTTTGCTGGTACCCATGGCTGTAGGGTTGTGCTGTGGGGCTCTCTCCCCTATCCCTTTTTCCTTCCCAAAAGTAATCAAAAATAACACGGTTTGGGCAGCTGCCTGGTTCACAGAGGCCACAAAAGAGTTGCTCTGGCACAACTGCAGTAGCACAGAGGGGAGAACAGTTGGAAGGAATCTCATACACGGGAACGTTCTAAGGTGATGGTCTTGCCGAAGCCGCCGTCTTCTGAAACTATAGCCTGAGGAACTGATGTAGAGAGTAGGGTGACACCATAGTATTGCAGATTTAGGAAATGTGGATATTCAGATCTTTCCAGGAAAAAGCTGTTGTTATTGAAGGACTTTTTCCGTGTCATCTAGAGCAGTGACTATTTGAAAATGTTTTTTCATTCTTGATGTGGGAGGCTTAATTTAGCTGGTATGTGTAAGAAAATTCTTTTGACAGCAGCCCTTTCAGTTTGTCTGCCTCGAAGGCAGCAATGTGCAGCTGCCTGGATGCCAATCCCGTCTGTCCAGTGCAAACTGCTCACCAGGATCACGCTGCCATGTGGCCACAGCAACTTCAGCTGGGGCTGCCGCGTGTTTGCACCAGGCACAGCGCTCCGGGGACAGCGGGGCTGTGTTCGGGGCAGGGACCCTGGCAGCAGTGCCCGGGAGGGCATCCAGGTTGCCCTCAGCGTGGCCAGGGGAGGAAGAAGTGACAAGGACTGGGGGGGAAAAGGATCCAAATCTCCTTCTGTTGAACAGTGGCTCCTGGGAAACAACTTAAAAGTGCTTTGAACAAGTAAAACTGAGGATTTTTAAACTGGACATTAATTTAGGCTCACCGTATCACTAGGTGGTTTTATTGAGAAGGTGATTCCCTAACAACTGGCTTGGGGACTGATGGTGCTGTGGCTGGAGGAACATGTCCCATAGAAAAAGCAGGATCAAAAGGGATTTTGTGCCCTTGGAAATGTTGCGTTTAACTAATGCCTTGGATTTAGCCTATAAAATAGATGGGCGTTTTCCAGGCCTTATCTTCCGTTAACCGATAACGAAGGCTGGAGGAGGAGATCGTCATCCAAAAATCCAATAATTTTTGATCGTCACCGAAAACGCCGACCCGCGCTGCGGGCGGCTGTAATTCTCCCACGTTTTAAAAGCGGCTCCGTGTCCGC